AAGCATTGCTACAGTTGTCCCTTTACCTAAAAACAAGCACAGTGAATAAAATACTATTTTTTAAAACTTATTCATTATTTAATATTTTATTTTTAATTGACCAATAACAATTGTACATATTTATTGGGTACAATGTGATGTTTTGATATATGTAAGCAATGTAGAATGATTAAATCAAGGTAATGAACATATCTATCACCTAAAAGCCTGGAGCAGTTAAACTGATCATGAGAAACCAGAAGGCATGTTTTTCTAGACCTCAGGCTTGGATTTGAGGACAGCTAGAAAAAAGAGGCAGGAATTCAACCATACAAGCAAATAAAAAAATTCTTATCTAAGGCAACATGGTAATGCTGTCTTCACAAAGTAATATAAAACTCATGTTTGGCAGTACTTACTGAAACATCAGTCCATTATAATTTAATTTATGTTTTTAGCCTCAATCCTAAGTGAATGTACTGTTCTCAAGCAATAGATTAATTTAATTTCATGTCATCAAATACAATATTTGCTTAATGGTACTTTGGATGCTCTGAGATTGTCCTTTCACTGCATATCAAGAATGTATTTCTTCTTATCAACCTTCTATATTATTAAGAAAAAAAGTTAAATTTAGTTCTGTATATAATTGAACCCCAAACTCAGATTTTCCCAATACTTAATAGCATATGAAGTAAGTTTATGCTCATTCGGACTGTTCCTTTTAGGTATGTTGAAAAAAAGTATTGTGTTAAAAAATGATTACCTTATACAAAGGGGTAATATTTTAATAATAAATATATTACTCTATTCCTGCTCATAATGCTTATCTAAACAGTGGAATAAACTAAAAGTCAAATGACTAACATTTCTAATATAAAAAATACTTAGATCATCCATGAGAGAGACAGAGTGGGAGCCATCTTAGAAGATGGCATCAGATGATTCTCACCTCTTATTATCCAATGTCCCTGTGTTGCCCCCTCCCACATTGAATAGGGCTGCCTTGCATATCCAATAAGATATTGCAGAAATACCAGAATATGCCTTCTGAGATTAGGTCCTATAAGATATGGCAGCTTCCACCTTGCTCCTTTCTGGATCACTAATTCTAGAGGACGCCCATTGCTATGTCATGAAGATATTCATGCAGCCCCATGGAAATATCCACATGGCCACTAACTGAGACCATCTGCTAATAAGTAGTGCTAAGATGTTGGGCATGTGAGTGAGGTATCTTGGAAGCAGATCCTCTAGCCAAGTCAAGCCTTCAGATGACCAGCACCAGGTGATACCTTGACTGCAACCTTATGAGAGACCCTGAGCCATAACCATCCAGCCAAACTGCTCCTGGATCCCTGACTCTATGAAACAGTTTGAGATAATAAATGCTTATGGGTTTAAGCTGCTAACTTTTGGGTTAATTTGTTACTTAGCAATAGATAAGTAAAAGTGGCAGCAGATAAACAAGAAAGAACATGTGCTGAGAGGTTGACAAATCTAAAATGTGTCTTGATGGCAACTTAAAGCTGAGTGCTCTTGGACAGGTTATTTTAAGTCTCTTGTGTCTTAGTTTTGTCATCAGTAAATTGAGGATAATAAATCTTACCTCACAGAGGTCTGAAGAATAAATGAGATAAAAGAATTTAAAGGACCTGGAAAGTGGTTTTTCCTCAGTAAATATATGTTTCTTTCTTTCTTCTAAATTGTGCTTAATTTTACAGGGTTTCTTCTTTAAAGGATTCGAAACTGATTACTCTTAGCACACACGAATTGACTCTATAGGATGATGAAGAACTGCAGGCAGAGACAGCGTTAGGGATATTCACTTGCTGCTTCTGGGTTTTTTGCGTGTTTATTTGTTTATATTTATCTGAACGAAGAGCTGACTTTGAAGATCTTGACTTAAGAGAGATGGATATTTTTAAACATTCCTTTAGATAGAGATAAAGTGATTGTATAAGTTATTTTTGAATATTTACGTAAGCTCCAAGTATAAAAGATCTTTAGGAAACAAAACTTCTCTAGATCTTGCAAAAACTGTTCCACTTTGACAGGGTCTCTGACAGCTTCATGCTCCCGGTTAAAGACCTCAGAGGTCAAGAAGACAGCTCTGAAATATGCTGTATCTGTTTCTGCTGTGTTTCCACCTTGACTCCACTTTTCTATGTCCTTGACTAAAGGAATTGGGAAATTATAAATGAGTGTTGTGCAGTCTCTTATTTTGCAAATCTATAAGCCACCTGAAATGTCTTTACCCTTGGAATTTAATATTGACATTATAGACTCTGAAGGGCCATGGCCTAGAGATGCCAAAGTATCAGGGTTAAATTCATGGACTCTGCATGAAGATTTACCAGACTTTCTGGGTTTGAATCCCAGTTCTGCTACTAACTGTATGAACTTGCACAAATTACTTAAAAACATTCTGTGCTTTAGTTTCCTCAAGCAAAGGTAAAAATAATGATAGCATTTATTATCTAGGTTGATAAAAGAAGATAAGAATAATAATAGTATTTACCACATAAATTTGTTATGAAAATAAATTGGGTTAATATTTGTTAGTGACTTAGAACACTACCTATCAAATAGCAGGTGCTTGTTAAATAGATAGCTTTTCACTTTGATGAGGTAGATAATTGAATGACCTAGACATTTATGGTAGATCTATTTAGTGAGTGTAATAACAACCAGTCAGCAACCAGAATCCTTCTCTTTCCTATTCTCTACAGATATTCAACTTTGCTTTACTATAGTTTTGAAAGGAAATTATTTATTCCAGTGATATTTGAGGATTTGGATATTTCCTCAAATATAACCCTTAAAAGATAAATATATGCTTCACTCTGAACTGAAAATATGTTTGCCTTTCACAAGGGCATTTGATTTTCACAGCTACTAGATTTTCCTGAGGTGTGTCAGTGTGTTGGGGAAGACATTGATTAGGGAGAATCAATCTACCTTTTCTTTTTTAGCAAGTGGTTCTAAACTCCTTCAAAACTCTAATAAAAGCTATAGTCCGTCTCTCCAGTGGGGAAAAAAAAAATCCCTGAAGCCACGATTACGGGCACCAATTGGCCCTTTGCTATATTTACTATAGGCCAAGAGAATGGACTGAGGATTATTGTAACCTTTTTTGACAATGTTTGCTGAATTTAGAAAAGGGAGAGAGAGACACACAGAGAGAGAGAGAGAAGAAAAATCCAGGACACCACTTCACAAAGTATTGGAAATAAAATGGTTTTAACATAGAATCTCTGACTCGGACTGTGAGGAATAATTCTGACTGTTAGTTCTTAACAAATTAATGACACAGATTAAAAAGTGACTTTGAAAGATACATAAAATAGTCTAAGTCAGTGTTATTTAAACTCTGTTTTGTGGAAAACTAGGGATTTGGGGGGCTCCTGGAAGGATGTCCTAATTAAGGGGAGGGTGCTGAGCAGGTAGAATTGAGACTCCATTCAACCTACATCCATCAGAGAGGTGCCGTGTTCACAGGTATCACTTCTTGGATACCAGATAAGTTAATATGTGAACAAAGAATTCCATAAGCTTCAAATGATTGAGAACCACCTTTCTGGATGTTTGTTCATATAGATAATCACAAACCCAAGCTTCTCAACCTGGGTTGTCAAAATCTGAGAAAAGTCGTATTGGCAGATATACAATCTTATAGGATGGTAGGATGGAAGGATGGTGACCACACACCAGTTTATCTAATTCTTGGTAGATGAAATTATGGGGTCTTCCACGAAGGCACAAGGAGGCAAATTTAGAATTAGTAAAAAGCATGAACTAGCTAGTAAAAAGAACTAAACACTGAAAACACCAAACTATAGAAGAAGTTACATATAAAAGAGCTGCAAACATTTATAGGTAAAAGCACAGGCAGTTATTCAGAAGAAATGAGATACTTATGGGGATAGCCTTTATTATTAAGGCCGATGTTAAGGATGGAGACCATCTTCCACAAATCGGCTTTTGATTCCATTTTCAGAAACAAAGTACCAGCTTGTATCACATCCATTCATATCCTTTGTGGTAATATCTAAGTTCTTATGTGATTTTACCAGGTTTTTTGGTTCAGATATTTAGGTGCAATTAGGTATGAGCCATGACATAAGGAAGTAAACCCATTCATATATGTTGAATGTACAGAATTGCCAATATTTGGTTTCCTTAACTTAAAAATGGCAATTTAATATGGTTTAAGCTAACATTTTCTTGGCTATATCACTCCCCAGTTTTGAAGCAAAATCTATACCCTCCCCTTTGCACTTCATCTTCCACCTAACCCACAGGCTTCCTGTGCTTCTTTGATGGCTGGACAGGAGCAGTTGAAGAGTCTGAATGAGCCTACTGGATGAAAGTAAAGTTGTCAAGTCTTGTCTTCTCTTGTTCAGTAGCTCTTGCCAAGGCTTTTGGGACTTTTTAAGGTGGCGATCATACAGAATTGAAATTACAGTAGCCCTAAAATACCCTTGGTTATTCCTTTAACCATGTATTTTGTCTCTTCTACAGCCTTTTTAGCAATAGAATATCCAAAACACAGTGTCCTATAAAACGAAGTGTTAAACTATCTCGTGGGAGACTAAGGCAGGTGAAAGGGTTGAGGCTTGTCAAGGAAGCCTGGTGGAAACAGCAGCTCTTACTGCTTTTGAAGTGCTCTTGTGGAAGCTGTGCCCAAGTCCTTTAAGAGCTGGTTTGTTTCTCAAATAAACCTGGTTGCCAGCAAGAGCAATGGTGTGCTGGTGCAGGTGGGAGGGAAAGAAAGGAAATGCATCCATGATGGGGGATTTTCAGGCAGACCTGAGATCATACAAGCCAAAGTGGACATTTCTCATGGATGCTATTAGCTACCCATCCCTCCCATATGGGCTCCTTCCATTTGCCTGCCTGAGAGGAGGCTGCTGAGAATCATTCAAGCCAGTTAAAGAAATTGCCTAAAGTAAGTATATGAAACACAAACACATTAGCTCAAAGTGCTTGAAACACAGTAATAGTCACAAAGTCCTTACTTCTTCTCTCCTTTGTACCATTCAAAGGCCGGAGGCGGCACACCTGCACCTTCACATCTTATCAATCCACTGCGTCCGGGGGTCACGGTGCCAGATTTAATTTCCTGAATCGTAGGAGCAACTGGAAAAGAAACAAACAAAAGAAACCTGGTGGGTAAGTAAAAATAATCGTCAGCAGAAATATAACACACACATATTTTTATCCCTTCTATATTCAAAGCAATCTTATGCCTGATAGACCAATGCATCATATTTTCAGTGTTTTGTGCTTCAAATACGAGACTAGTCATTTTCAGCTTCATTTTTCAGGTTGAACAATAGATGAATGTTCCCAGGGAGTGTAGAGTAAATGCAATACATTTTGGCCTTCCTTCCTATTGGAAAAATGGCATTGGTGAGGGGAATACTTCATCTGTGCTCCAGTCAAACTACACTCCCATAATAGCTCTCATTTATTGAGTGATCACTGGAAGCCAGTCATTGGGCTGGGTGCTTTATGTTCTTGATTTCTTCACAATAATACTGTAAGCTAGACGGTATTATCCCTTTCTACGATTATGAAAACTGAAGTTCAGAGAGGTTAAACAATTTGTCTAAGGTCACACAGCTACCTAGTTGCAGAATTTGGATTTCAAGTCAGTCATGTTGACTCTAAGACTGGATTCTTTCAATATTCTGTGTTTTTCCTGCCTATTCCCTATGCTGCAGCAATTCAGTGATCTCGTTATATGTTTTTTTCTGCCTGGATGCTGTTCTTCCCCATATCCACAGATTTAAGGCCCATTTTAGGTGAGACTATCTCCATACTCTTCTCTATCTCTATAGCCAGAAATAGCTTTCCCTTCTCTGAGTAACTTATCTGGGTCCCTCATGACATGGATTTTCTATCTTGTATTGTGATTACTTATGGGTATGCCAGGCTGCCTTGTCAGCTCCTTGAAAGCAGGGTAAATATCTGATTCATCTTTGCATATTCCAAGATCAAAGCACAGTGCCTAGCACAGCGTGATGCTTAAAAAGCTTTTTTGTAGCATAGCCATTCCTTTATTCATCAAGTGGCTATTGAGCCACCAATACGTGCCAGGCATTTCTCAAGGCAGAAAGCAGTCAAATGCCCTGACGTGACGATGTTCACATTCTAAATGGGATGAGGTACGGGGACACAGACTATAAGCAGTAAATAAAATAAATAAGTAGCATAAACAAAATGTTAGAAGGGGATAAGCAATATGGTAAAACAAAACCAAAAACAAGAAACAAAAACCTTATAGCAGCAAAGAAAGAAGAATTAGAGCAAGGAATGGATTGTGTAAAAGATAGGGTACTGTGAGTAGGCTTTATTGAGAAGGGGAAATTTGCCCAAAGACCAAACGTATTAGATGAGTGAGTTAGCTATGTGGGTGTCTGGAGATAGAGCCTTCCAGAAAGAGGGAACAGTTTGCAGTAAGGCTCCGAGGCTGAAGCAAGCCTGGTTTGTTTGAGAAATAGCAAGATCAGTATGGCTGATGCAAAGAGAAAAAAGGAAGGATAGCAAAAGACAGGGCCAAAGAGGAGCAAAGGATGGAAGGTTGCATAGGACCCTGAGGGCCATTTCAAGGATTTGACTCTTACTCTGAGTGAAACAGCGAGCCCCTGCAGACTTGTGTTTTGTTATAAGGATCACTCTGGCTGCTGTGTTGAAAAATACAATAGTGAGGCCAGGATGAAAGTCAAGGAAGTGGGTAGGAAACTTGCAGTAAGCAGGGCAAATGAAGGTTGGTGGCTCATACCAACCAGGCTCGTAGCAGTGGAAGTGGTAGAAAGTGACCGGGTTTGGGGTCTCCTGTGAAGTTGGAGCCAATAGGATTTCTTGACCAATTGAAGAGAGATGGAAAAGAAAGAGAGGAGTCAAGGTGACTTCTTTTGGCTTAAGTAAGCTGAATGGTTAGAATACTCCTCGACTGAGATGGAACAGACTGTAAGTAGGAGCCTTCTGGAGGAAAACATTAGGCGTTGTATGCATGTATCTTTTCATAAATATTTCCTTTTCTACTTAGTTTTTAACATAGTACATATTTTAAATAACACTATGGGAAATTGTTCATCAGCAACTGGAACATTGAAGATGCAGATAGTAGTTCATTCAGAAATATGACCTAAGTACATATGCACTCTGGATATATTTGGGGTTTCTTTGGAAAGCAGTAAAAAGTACAAGGTTTCATGTTTTTTCAATATGCAGTGAATATGAAAACTGTAAACATTCTTACAATGGAACATTGCTTTTCCTTTTAGAAATACCCCAGTAAATTTATCATTTCCTGTTAGGGGTGATACCTCATTATGAAATTATAGCACCTTTTCGCTGCAGTGTTTTTATTCTTAAAAGTAAAGGTTCAATCTATAGTTCTAGAAAAAAATTGCAAAGCAAATATTTTTTATTAAAGTACTTGCTAATAACTTGGTGAAGAATACTGAAAGTGGTGAAGAATAATGAAAATAATGAAAGAATATTTACTAAAATATTTAAATGTGAAAATATTATGAGATAATACACATATACACATATATACACACAGTTTTATATATATACATGTACATGTATACAAATACAATATAAAGACTCATTTCATAATTTTTTGCTTGTTTTGTGAAGCAAAGTTTCATGTCCCTCTGTAAAAGGCAATGAAATATACAAAATACATCTATAAATAAAACCCCACTTCTTTGTCAGTTATTATGACACTGATTTACTTGTGAGAAGTATAGGGAAGATTATATTTTCACTATTGTTCTCACAGGCTTTCATCTCTCTATCTCCCTGTCACACTAACAGGCTGTAATGTTTTATGATATCCAACTATTATTGGAGATGAAATAACCATATGCAACAGGAGATCCATCACAAGCTTCTATTGATAACCTGGTTAGTTTAATTACTCTCTTGTTTGTCAAGGGGCCATGACTCATTACAAACAAAAGCATGAAATCCGGAACATTGCCTGAAAACCCAGGCATAATGAACCGAAATAAAAATCTAATTCATCATTAAAAGGCTTTTGTGCAGTACAGTGTGCACATGGCTTAGCACTGGATGCTTTCCCATACAAGTTAAAGGGACATGATCCTGTTATCCAGGGCTTCATGGGCTGCTATAATGGAGACTGCAAATCGAAAGACAGCTAAAATGTCATATGGATCCATGGATAAAGAGTAAGTCAAAATTAATAATAATATGCATAAGAAAAAGTCCTAAGAGCATTTTGTGTGGTAGAAAGTTAAAGAACCACGGGCTGTAGAGTAATCAATGTAGAGCGAAGATTCTCATGTAGATTTTATTTTGTGGTTAAAATTATAAACTTGAACCTAAAGCCTCCATTGATTTTTCTCAGGCTCATGAAAATTCATATTACATAATCATATTATTGAGCATCTTTTGGAAATGACTATTTGAGAGGAGGAAGATTCATCCACTTATTTATTCTTCGTTCCTTCATCGATTCAACAAATATTTCTATCAGGGACCAAATTAAAGAAAAAAAATATTCCTGGCCTCATAGAGCTAACATAGACTGATACAAACTAAGATGGAAATAAAGCAGGGCCAAAGAAAAAGAAATAGCAAGATGTGTTATTTTATATGGAGAGATCTCAGAGCTCCGTACTGATGAGGTCATATTTATGCAGAGAATTAAATGATGTGAGGAAAGGAATCATGTGGCTATTTATAAGAAATTATTGTAATAACAAGAAACAGGAAAGCTAAAGTGGGGAGCATGCTTGAGGCGGAAACATATTTATCAGGTTTAAGTTTAACACTCTTTTTGAGGTTATCATGGCTTGAGCAGAATAAGTGAGAAGACGAATCTAGAAGAGAAAGTGGGGCCAGGAGCAGAGCTGGTGCCCAGATTCTGTAGGGTCTAGTAGTCCATGGTAAAGGCTTGAATTTTATTCTAAGGGATTGACGCTTTGGAGATTTTGAGCAGGGGAGCCACATGATTTGATTAAAATTCTGTAAAGATTCTTTGGCTGCTGTGTGGAACATGTTCTGCAAAGAGGTAGGAGAGGAAAGAGGAAACAGCATAATAGCTAGGAGGCTGTTGTAGTAATCCTTAGGATGATAAGAAAGTCATTGGCCAATTCATAGAAAAGGCAGGAACTGAGAAAAAAAATGTAATTAAATAGATCATTGATCACATTGGACTTGACTCAACTCATTTTAGTTAACTGGCAATGACTGGACATTTCTAGTGGAATTCTAAGTTTACACCCTTCTGAACACTATTACTTTGTATAAATAAAAGGGTTCTATGGCCACAGAATTGCCTGATTATACCCGGCAGGTTCCTTTTCTACAGTACTTCTCAGAAATTATGTTGCCCACATATGTCTTATGAATCTCTTATTGGACAGAACCTTTTCCCAACTTATGTGACCATAGCATTCCACAAAGTTTTATTTGAGCATCTTGTGGGCCTCATGTTTCTTAGAGCATAATCTGAATATGTTGGACTGTTGGACTAGCGGATCTATAAGTTCTATTCCTCATCTTAGGTTATGTGATTCATGACTTTTAGGGTGAACAACCATCACCGGTTCAACAAGCTTCCAAGTGCTCACGAGCTATAATGTACTCATGGATTTCATGTGAGGAGAAGGCTTCAATTATTTGCACCATAAGGATATGGTCATTTATTTGTCTAGAACAGATGTACCTGACAATAGTTATGACTAATTAAATCTCCAACTGGAGCTGCAACAGTGAAAATTATAATTATGCTTGGCCAAATTGTACAAAACACTCATTTTCCACTAAAATGTTCCATGTTTTAAGAAATCATAGTGGGCTATTCCTTGGAAATATAATCAAATGATAAAACCTGAGTGATTGCTCCTGGAGCCTGTTTCTCTTACCGCTGCACTCCCTCATTGTTCTGTGAATTTTGGCCCTGCACCAGCAGTGTAAGCTGCTTTTACTAGAAGTGTAAATGCATGCATCTTCTGTTTCCAGAACTGTTTTTCTTCTCAAGGAGATACTTTTTTGTTCTGCTCATATATAATTTTTTTTCATTTCTTCATATTATCGGGGTACAAATGTTTAGATTACATTGCCCTTGCCCCCCTGCCCCCAGTCAGAGCTTC